ATTAATATGTACAACTAAAATTACTAATAAAGATATGAGCAAGGCCTCACCTTAATACCAAAAAAAAAAAAAAATTAATAATTGAATTAGGATACTTATAATGACAATCACACTAGCATGACTGGCAGATCATAGAGCATCTGTGTAACTAGTTATACAAAGGAATGCAAACTGACAAATCAGGCAATATAAATACTAGTTAAGTCTTTGTAACTATGTAAATTTGTTAAAATTAGATAACAAAAAGTTTAAATCTAATGACAATAAAACTTTAATAAATTTATTATTAATTTTATTTTTTTTATAATAATTTAAAAATATATCTAATAATAAATTCAAAATTATAATCTTTCAAAAAAACATTAAAAATAAAATATACAAGGTTTCTGATATAATTGCACTTTCTTAATTGGTTATTATAATTTTATTTTGATTTTAATTTTTTTTGTCTATTATTAATAGAAATTTAATTATAATAATCAATATATATTTTTATAATATTGTATTTATAAGATTTTTATACTTTTAAAAGAGTTATTTGGTTTGTCAAGACTGCAACAATTACATTTTATTTTGAAAAATCAAAGAAAAAATTATTTGCTAAATCAATTAATATTTTACTAAATATTATTATTATAATTCAAATCATAATAAATTAATATTATTACATGATCTTCAAAACTTTTTTAGATGACAATTTTACCTCAGTCCTAAATGCAGGCTTAAATCCAATAAAAATTTAGTAATTCTTTGTAAAAAATAGGTTTTATGGATCTACTGTAATCCCTCACCAATCATATTACTAAGAAACAAAACAACCTTATACAAAGGAACTTATAAATTTACAAAAGAATTAATTAATCTTATTTATGTAAAAATAGGTATATATATAGGTTGAGATAGGCACGCGCGTGATGCGTGGGATTTTTTTAGAGTTCACACGGGATTTTAATATGATCTCAAAATAAAATTATCTAGCCGGCATTACATATCATCTGGCCGGCATTAATATAATCTTTGGCCTGCATTAACATATTTAGGTTAATTTCTAATACCAGGAACGAATGTAATGAGTGTATGGAATATATCAAATATATGCTGTTTGAAGTGTGATTTGTTCACAAAATCTTAAGTTTGATTGGTCCGCATGATTTATTCATCAATTTTTTGGATATGTAATTACAGAGTATAATTTGAAAACAAAAATGCAAACATAAGTGATGTCGTAGTTGCGATAACTAACGATAGAAAAGCAAGAATTTTAGACTTAAAAATTTGATATTTAACGTATTTCATTTTTTTTTGATAATTTATTATATGATGCCTTGTAAACTTTTGTTTAATTAGCTAATATACAGTAAGTCAACTGCTCGGTAGTGCATATCAAATGCTTCACAATATATTAATGAGATACTAGTTTGTACGTTACTTGGACTATTTGTTAACTACTATATTTGCTTTCGTTCCTGGTTTCTAGCATGACTACGTCATGCAGCTACCTTATTTATAAGAAACAACCAATTTATAATAAACAAGAAATTTGATTTTCAATAATAATTTCTGCGTAGTTTTTTTATTAGATACAAAAAATTAAAAAATTCGCAAATTTGTGTTCCAATCCTGCGCGGGATTTTTGGCAAAACCGCAATTTGCCCATCTCTATATATAGGTGTATACACATAAAGTTGGGTAAAAACAATATTTATTATTATAAATCCAAACTTATAAATATACATTCTTATACATGTGTACGTACGTGCATCATATTGATAAATGCACACATGCATGTGAGAGATCTTAAGGTCTTAATTCAATAAATTATGAATTGCTTCGTTAAAAAGCACATTTAACCTATTTAATTCATTGTCAAGTATTTCTATTTCACTATCCGACTTAACCACTTCATTAATATTCATTTCGTCTATAAAATATTCCCTTTCATTATTCAATCTATTCATTTCATTAATAAGTATTTCCCTTTCACTATTCAATCTATTCACTTCATTAATAAGTATTTCCCTTTCACCAATTAAAGTAAGCAACCTGTCGATGTTATTGTAACATTCTTCCTTTTCTTCATTTAAACGTTTATTTTTTTCATTTAAACGTTTGTTTTCTTCGCTTAAACGATTGTTTACTTCACAGACACCTTTTATGTATAAAGCAGCTGATGTAATATAAATCGATAAATAGTAAATTAATAAATACTGCATATTGTTATATTAACGTTAACAAATATTACATATTGTTATATTAACAAATACTACATATTGTTATCGTTATTCATTCTATTCGATTACAATCACATGGTCTATTTCATGCAGTTATAATTTTTGTTCAAAAGCAAACTGTGAATATAAAAGAAGTCCGAACTGGACTAAAAATTCCATTGCATATAATGAATTATAAAAGATTTCATGCGTACAAATGCAACAAAATTACTCTTCTCACATATTCGTAATGATGTCACGTGATAAGTATAATCCAAAAAACATTAATAGCTCACCAGGAACACGGAAATTTTCGAAAGCAATTTTTCAAAAGAAACCAAAAATTTTTGCTCAAATCGAAAATTTTCACAATTTTTTGCTCCAAGTTACATATAAAAATAATTACATGTAGTGATGGGACTAACTGGGGTTAGAAAAGGAGGTAGTTTAATTGTCACGTACCATAGCGTATAAAAAACTTATAAAAATTAATTTTTTAAATGGTCATAATGCGTGTTAATTAAACAACCTCCTTTTTTAACCCCGGTTAGTCCCATCACTAATTACATGATAATGAAATTATTGGCTCAAGACAAATATTATCATGTAATTAAATTTGTAGTACAGCAGTAAGTTCTGAAAGCTTCCGAAATTCGAAATAACTACGTGATCTTGATAATTCCGGCCAGAGTTATTGACTTGAAGCTTAATTCTAACCAAAATCGAAATAAATCGAAATGTTTGCTTTAAATCAAAAGAATATTTCCGTGTCCCTGTAGCTCACCCACAAAAAATTTTCCGGGCATGTGCTTCTTTGCCAATTAGATCGAAGGATCAGGTGTAATGTAAAATCAAAACAATCGAATCAGGCCTACCGAAAAATTAATTAAAATTAATTTTTGTTATACGTCATACAATTAAAATCAATTAATTAAAACCCAATTAATGACGAAATAATTGCAATTATTGCATTTATCACATGGTTGCGATGAATCATTATATGTGACAAATAAGGATTTACTAATTAAAAGTATTAGTGAACTCTTATTCGTCACGCAAATGATTCATCACACCAAAAATTGCAATTAACTCATTGTGACTGCGCCACCAATCAATTAATTGAGTTCAAAAAATTGCAATTAATTGCCCTCACAATCAATTATTCGGTAGGTGAATCGAATTAAGCGAAAACATTTTAAAGTAATAAGCACTATCTTTAGAGTTAGGATTAAGGATGAGGAAGGTCATAACTTATACTAAAATTTCATGAGAAATTTTTTTATTAGAACGCAGAAGGCAATTTCATAGGTAAAATTTCGAGTTAATAGTGATTTTTTAAAAAGACGTGATTTTCACGTTACATCTACTCCTTCAATCTAATCTAATCACAAAATTCACGTGATAAACCCTGATTATTTAAACCGGTTCCAACCTCTAAGATTGAATCAACAGAAATCAAGCAAATTTTTTCCGAGTAAATGTTTTTAAACATTAAATAACAACAACTTAATCAAATTTAATAAAAAATTTTTTTAAATAAATTCTACAATCTTATAGAATTAATTTTAAAAAAATTCTATTAAATTTGATCATGTTTTTGTTAAGTTATTAGCATTTAAAGTTTTTAAAAAAATTCAATAAAAACAATTTGATTGATTTCTATTGACTCATCCTCATATGATTGTAATCGAATGAGATAAACGTTGGATGTTACGTTACCATTTAGTAGTAAGTCTGCCTTGGTCGCATTGTTTTTTGCATATGGCGTGAATGAGAGAGACTCGTTGAGTATCTTGTAATTAGAATTTAGCTTGCTCCGTCCTTTCTGCGAAGAAACTCTGGCTCGTTCTTTACGAACGTGTCCGCTATTGTTATTGGAGAATGAACAATCGCATTGAATATTATTAAAATATTCAAATATTAGTTATTAGTCTGCTGATTCTATCTATATATATAGTATAATCACCATACCTAGAGGGTTGTTGACTTTCGTTTTCTGTCATATAGGTTATTGCGTTTCTCTGATAAAATCCTAGCAAGAAAAAAGGCCAACAATTTTGTATGCGTTGTTTTTATACTTATACACTTTTCACATAACTTCGATTATTTGTATTACTATATTATTTATTTTAAATATTAAAATCATTTTCCTATTTTGTTTTTACTGTATATTGATATTGATTTTTGTTTATATACATTTTTACTGTATATTGTCATGTGATGATTTTTTTTGTATTGTATGTTGTTTATTTTTAAACAGGTTTCACGACATTTTTAGCCAGATTAGGCGGAGTTTCGCTTTTACGACATTTTTAGCCAGTTTAAATTGATTAGGCGGAGTTTCACTTTTACGACATTTTAATCAGTAAATTAATTAGACATCAAAAGTACAGTAACGTCCAATCTTTTAACAAACCGGGAATTTCGCATAACATATAGAATACACAACATTTTCATCGTGTACTAGAATGTTAGTTTACTCGTGTACTAAACCTTCTTTAGGATGTTAGCTTAGAATGAGTTTAGAATGTTGGTTGAGAATGTTAGTTTACTCGTGTACTAAACCTTCTTTAGAATGTTAGTTTATTTTAATGCCTTCATGTAAACCGTCAATGGTGAAGAATTATTGTACAAATATTATGAAGCGAACCAACCATTCATTTGATGATAGATCTGATGATAGAAACTTATAAGAATGTATCTTCATCGTTAAATACTGAAAAACTCTATTAATCTCTTTAGTATTTTGTTTCAAACAAAAGCCATATCAGCATATATCGGCCAAAACCCATCACTTATAATTCCGGTCAAAATTGTCGATCATTTGGCCAAATTTTAAATTATTTTACTCCAGATCTGGCAGGTGATCAACAATTTTGACCGGAATTATAACTGATATTTATTAGATTGCCGATCAGGGCACAAAATTTCCGGATGCTCGAAGCTGCTTTTTCTCCGGCGGTGTTTATTTTAACCGGAACTTAGAAAACTCAGCCGGATGTAGCAGTTTTTTTAATAAAGATATTGTAATATTTATTGATATTTTATATACTTACGTATATATGATATCATATTCAGAAATTTTCCGGCTGTTGAAAAGTCGGGACGGAAATTGTCACGTGTAAACGGAAATTTCCGAAATTTTACAATAGGATTTGTGCCCTGTTGCCGATATGTATTGCTTTGTACGATGAGGATTTTACTTTGTACGATTTCCCTCGTATTACCATAAAACGTCTAATGAATAAATTTTTCACCTCGTACACTATTGTATAACGTTAAGTGTAATAAAAAAAGCAGCTAGACTTTTTAATCCTATTTTTTCTTTTTACAAATAAGTGGGATCCTTTTAAAATTCAGACTCTGTGAACTAAATAGACGTACACAATAAATTGGCATTTTTTTGAAAAGCATCTACCGGTTAACGATTATGTAAATATACGTTAAAAAAAAAATAGGATTTATGTATCCCATATTTAAACGTAAATAAATCACTTATTTTATCTGAAATCAGATGCAAAAATATTAATTATCGTCAAAAAGCTGCTCGATACGTATGTATAGAGGCAGCTTTTGTCTCAAATCAGTCGTCATAGGCAGAAGTTCGTCTGATTGGTTAATAATACTTTTTAAAAAAACGAAAAAAAAAACAATATAGAAGAAGGTTTCATTAGAGCTGTAGGACTCCATAGTCAAAAAAAAGATCTAATTCTCGTCCGTTTAAAAAGATTAGCTTAGTAATAAGTTGATTTTATCGGGGTTTGAGAAGTTATTACTATATTAACTTTTTTAAACGGACGAAAATTGGATCTTATTTTTGGCTATGAAGTTCTACAGCTCTAATAAAGTCTTTTATACAGCTTTTTTATTTCATTTTGATTAGTTTTCGTTTTTTTAAAAAGTGCTCTAAACTGTATAAATAATGTAAAATTAAATTGAATTTATTAGCCAATCCGATAAACTTCTGCCTATGACTCGCCGTTTCGCTCGTGTCACTATCACGTAATTTTCGAAGCCTTTTTGGTGGCGATTTTACCCCGGTCCTAAATGCCGGCCTAAATCCAATAGATCCGGCCCGGAAATTTGGTGATCCCCTGTAAAAATAGTTTTTATGGATCTACCACCAATCAAATTACTAAGAAACGAAACAAACCTCATACAAAGAAGCTTATAAATATATAAAAGAATTAATATTACTCATGTAAAATATAGCTATATAGGAGATACACATAAATTTGAGTAAAAGCAGTATTTATTATTATTAAACCCAAACTTATAATACAATATACATTCCATAAACCAAGCATTAAACTTATGTGCATCATATTGATAAGTGCACACATGCATGTGAGAGGTCTTAAGGTCTTAATTCGATAAATTGTGAATTGCTTCGTTAAAAATCACATTTAACCTCTTTAATTCATTGTCAAGTATTTCTATTTCATCGTCCAACTTAACCACCTCATTAATATTCATTTTGTCTATCAAATATTCCCTTTCATTATTCAATCTATTCACTTCATTAATAAGTATTTCCCTTTCATCATTTAAAGTAAGCAATCTGTCGATGTTATTGCAACGTTCTTCCTTTTCTTCATTTAAACGTTTATTTTTTTCATTTAAACGTTTGTTTTCTTCGCTTAAACGATTGTTTACTTCACAGACACCTTTTATGTATAAAGCAGCTGATGTAATATAAATCGATAAATAGTAAATTAATAAATACAACGTATTGTTATCGTTATTCATTCTATTCGATTACAATCACATGGTTCATTTAATGCAGTTATAATTTTTGTCCAAAAGCAAACTGTGAATATAAAAGAAGTCCGAACTGGACTAAAAATTCCATTGCATATAATGAATTATATAATATTTCATACAAAATTACTCTGTATAATCCAGTTGAGTCAAGCAAATTTCTAAGTAAAATTTTTTTAAACATTGAATAACAATAACTTAACAGCTTAATAAAATTTAATAAAAAAAAAATTTAAATAAATTTTACAAATTTATAGAATTTATTTAAAAAAAAAATTTATTAAATTTGATCAAGTTATTAGCATTTAAATATTTAAAAAAAATTCAATAAAACCAATTTGTTTGATTTATATTGACTCGTTACCATTTAGTAGTAAGTCTGCCTTGGTCGCATTGTTGCTTGCATATGGTGTAAGTGAGAGAGACTCGTTGAGTATCTTGTAATTAGAATTTAGCTTGCTCCGTCCTTTCTGCGAAGAAATTCTGGCACGTTCTTTACGAACGCGTCCGCTATTGTTATTGGAGAATGAACAATCGTATTGAATATCATTAAAATATTCAAATATTAGTTATTAATCTGCTGATTCTATATATATAGTACAATTTTTTTCAAAAGCTCATCCCGAAATTTTATAATAACTATACCTGGAGGGTTGTTGACTTTCGTTTTCTGTCATGTAGGTTATTGCGTTTCTCTGATAAAATTTTAGCAAGAAAAAACGGCCAACAATTTTGTATGCGTTATACTTATAATCCACCATAACAATAACGATTCGATTATTTTTACAATATATAGAAATGTGGTAAGCAAGATAAGCAAGGCAACAAGATCAGCAATATACATCATTAATGTAGATCAATCAGAAATAATGTAATTAAACAAGTAATCATCATTAATGTCGATCAATCCGAACAAGTAATCATCAATGTAGATTAGCCAAAAACGACATCAGAAGCTTCACGACAAATCAGTTTAAATTATAGTAACGTCCGATCTCTTAACAAAACGGGAGTTTCGCTTTTTTAATACTTAAAGGTTTCATAACATATAGAATACACAACATTTTCATCGTGTACTAAACCTTATTTCTTTAGAATGTTAATAAATATTACCGAATGAATGCTTTTCAGAATCTTTATAACCTTAAATTAAAGATAACTTAAAGATAACTATTCAAGTTTATTTTAATGCCTTAATGTAAACCGTCAATGGTGGAGAATTATTGTACAAATATTATGGAGCGAACCAACCATTCATTTGATGATAGTTCTGATGATAGAAAACTTATAATGTATCTTTATCGTTAAATGCTGAAAAACAGGCTCTATTAATCTCTTTTAAAAGTATTTTGTTTCAAACAAAAGCCATTAGAGTATCCAAGTTATGCTGTATTTAGAGATACTATATAAGTTGGCTCGTACATTATTTTGCTTTCTCATATCGGCGGATCAAAACCCATCAGTTATAATTCTGATCAAAATTGTTACTTTGTACGACTTCCCTCGTATTACCATAAAACGTCTAATGAATAAATTCTTCACCTTGTACTACTATTGTATAACGTGTTCATAGTAATTTGGTTCAACAAAATGGGACAAACCAAATATTTAGATCTAAATTTATTATCAATATGAATAAATTATAATTCAATTATAATTCGGCAGGTACTATGTAAACACTGACGGAAAAAATTTCACATTATTTCCGCAAATTTTTATTAAAAAACACTGACGGAAAAAATTTATTAAAATCATGTGACAAATTCTTATATTAAAAGAAAGAAAAAGATTAAACTGATGATGTAAACCATACAAATGAAAAAAATAGTATAGTTGTCAATTACTGCTATCCAATAGCTATAAAATATAATTCAGTTTATAATTCGATTTCCGAAAAAAAGTGTTCGTTTGCACCATACTTGATTTCTATTGACGGCAGCCCAAACGTATACCAAACCCTTTTAGCACAACAACGATTTCACGATTATTAGTTACATCTCTCTATTATAGTGATTACTGTTACGAACAAGTACGTATAACCACAAATATCTTGTTTTTACATGTAGGCACATGATCATGAAAATCTCAATATAGTTATGATATAGAAAACTTGAAACTTAATCCAAATTATAAAAAAAGCTTTAAATGACTAAAAATTTCTAATATAATTTTTTTGCAAACACCAAGTTTTGAACTATTGCCTAACTACAATTAATATGATTAGTTCAGTTAACATTACCAAAACTGTTTAAATTTTTAGTCGCACTTTTTAAAGACATAATTTTCATAAACCATTTTAAGAAAGTATTTTTTATGTTGATCATTGTGTCGTTTTTATGTCATTTTCATTTTCTCTTCTCATTTAGTTTATACATTGCTCTACCAAAAGTTATGGTGATTTGGGATACGTATTATTTTTTAAAAATTCGATAAAGGTTATTTTTAAATTGTTTTTACCCAATATATATTGGATTTGTTTAAAAGATGTTATAATTTAATCGATAAAATCACATAAGCTTTTAGTAGTGTTCCAAGTAAAGGTGGCAAACATTTCTTGAGCATTCACTATCCACAGATGGCAATGATATTACCATCATGTGGTATGTGGTAATAGAGTAGTGAATTGTGGGTAATTTTGCATGTCAACCTCTCTAGTGAATCCACTAAAGTTCTCTCTAGCGAATTCATTAGGATCAAGACTATTGAAAAAAATTAGAAATACTTATAGGAGTATGCTTTTGAGTTGAGACCTGCCCTTGTACTTATGAAAATGCTCTTTTTAAATTACATGATTAACAAGAACTAATTTAATTTTTATGTAACATGATAAATTCAACTTTAAATTATACAAATTTAGTTAAAAAATTCTATATTTACGGGGTAATTAGAAACTAATAGATATCCGAAAGCACAATTAACTAATTCTTAAAAAATATAAACTTATTACTTGTGCAGTTGATTTATACTAACCAATTAAACCAAATATACAAACTTAATTGTTATGTTAGTATCTACTAAAATATTATTGTGTATAATTACTATATAATTTTATTAACTCATTATATACTATAGCATAGCAAGCCCTGTGCCTGCTCATGCACGTGAATTCTTGAAGAGTGCTTATATAATTATTCAACTTACAAGTAAAGATGAAAAATATATTGTAAATAAATATATAGAGTCCCGAAAGGTCATTTTATTAGTAATGTTCCATATAATATTGTTTTAATTTTGAAATTATTTTGAATCAGATGTATCAGTCAAGCCTTTATGTATAAAGCTAACATAATTTAAATTCAGCTCAGAACCTGAGGAAATTTTATTTGAAACTATTGCATAGTTATAAAATTGTCAGTTCATATAATGAAAATTTATTATGTTTATAAAGTATTACATGTGTCTTTAGTGTTCTATTAATAATTGCAATAGTAAAATTCCATTCATATATACAAATATCAGCCTTGAATCAATTTCACTAACATCGAAATATTTTTCTAAGAACAGGATGATATCTCAGATAATGATAACGTAGATGCTGTTGAAGATTATGAAAGCAATAATTTAAATTGAGGCTTTGATGTCTTTTTATTTTTATAGTTCACAAGGAATTTATTTTATCAGCATCGGTTTATATAGAGTAAATAAAGTTAATTAGAATTGTTTTATAGTAACCCAAGGTTGTAATAAGCATAATTAGAAAAAAAACAAACTGATAGTATACTATTAAATTTTTTTTAAAATCAGTAGGCCTTATTAAAAATTTAATAATATATTTAACACTTGTTAAAAGTATTAAAAAAATTTAGATGAGTTTTATCTTTTTTTGCATTTTGATTAATTTTTGAAAATCAATGTATCAAAATACAAATGTGTTCACATTTCAAAGGAAATAAACTCAAAATAATTTGGTAGAGAATGGCTTTACAGATTTCCTCAATCAGTCAAAAGTAAAAAGAGAAATATCAATATTAATTACTGTTTTAAGTATTTTTTGAAGATAAAATTTTTGATATACAAAAAATTACATCAATTTATTTTAAATAAATCAATCTATATTTAATAATATAAACAAATATTATATAATTTGCATTGCACAACTTTGATTAAATAAAAATTATAAGTAAGCAGATCAGTATAGTATAGGTTAAAATTAAAGCTAATTAGCAGTAATTTCTAACTCTAATGCTGAGGTATAGCTTTTAAAATTTGCTTATACTATCTAATCTGAAACAATACTAATTAGATAATATAAATATTATTAGGCTATTTTTTATTTTTTTAATTATTTCTAGTACAAGACTGGTTTAGAACTAGTCTATTGAGAGACTGATACAGTCTAATATTACTATTTTCTAAAATTTCTTATGTGGAAAAAGATTTGAATTGAAATAACTAAAATTAGAATTAGAGTTAAAAAAGTAATATATTGAACTGATACTAATATAATAGAATTGTTTAGATTTAAAATCTACTTGTAGCAATCTAAGTTGATACAAAATATTAAAGCAACTTAAGTTGATTCTAATCTGATACTGTTAAATTATTATTATTTTAAATTTGAAACTATGATAAATATGTTATCAATTGATGCAATTATTAAAGTTAATTATATTCTATTAGTATAATAAACTACTAAGATATTTAAATACAAATTTTTATTGTTATCATTTTATTTTTTTTTTATTTTTTACAAATCTTTTTATCTAATCAAATTTTAGATTATTATTTTTTATTTTGTAATGCATTTAATGAATTATTATACAAATATTTAAATAATAAATTATCTAACAGCCAATGCAAATTTTTTATTAAATATAAAACTTTAATATTTGTATTAAAATTTTACAAGATTCAAAAAATACAATAATTGAAAATGCAAAAAATCATTATTAGAAAAATAATATATTAGCAAAAAAAATAAACTAATATATATTAATTATTAATTATAACAGATATATATTGATAATAATTTACTCTGTCAAATTATATTAATTAAAATATATATTAATATTTATTTATTACAATAGAAAATCAATAAAAAATAATTTAGTAAAATATTGATATATATTAAATATATCCAGTATTATTAATATTATACTAATAATTATAATAATACTAGCTTTTTAACAAATTTTAAAGTAAATAATTACAATTTATATATATTATATTTATTTATTAAATATTAAAACAATAAGCAATAGGATGTAGATCCAATAGTTTAATAGTTAAGCTCACATATCCTCACAGTCAAGATCAATAGTTCAAGTTTAATTAGAAGCAAAAATTAAAAGATTTTAGCCTCTGTAATTTATAAGAAGTCTGTAATTAAATATAAAGTTCTGTGATCAAGTCCAAGTACAGTATATAATAAAAAAAGAGATTCTCAAAAGGAAACTGACTTTGCAGAGTGTGGGCACTATGTGTGATAGCAGTATTACAAAAAGTTTTGTTATACAAAGAATTACATATATAAGTTCTTTGAAGACAGAGCAATATCAACATCTTTATATCTAACTTGTAAAGTACTTAATTAAAAGAGTGATATTAAGATAATACAAACTGGAATGATAAGAGAAGTAGTGCATGCATAGAAGATTTGTAACAAAGAATTAGTTTTATTAAGATTGAAAGCACCTTTGATACTATAGAATAACTAAAAATAGAAGATAGTTATCTG